ATGTTACTCTATGATATTATATTTAAAGCTCTAACATTATTTTAAAAAAAATTCTAAAGTTTAACAGTGTTAAGTTAACAATATGATACACTTTCAAACTATTTTTCATGATATTAATGAATATTGTTTAACTATTAAGGATGCCACTGTCAAGTAAAGCAAAATCAGCACGACACAGGGAGCAGACAACAAGTCATGTATGGAGTGTGTGCAAAACGCTGCTACAATGAGGTAGAAGCTGCAACAGCCAGGCGGAAGTGACTGTGATTTTGCCTATTCCAGTTACGGTATGTGCTAAACATGATTACTATGAAATATTTACTTCTTTTACTTAAAATGAGTCTGTTAACTAAAAGCATGTTGTTGTATTTGAAAAAAAAAATGCAAATTTTCTGCATATTTGCTGTGATTACTAATATTGTCAGGTGGCACAACTGATAAATGTCATGGTGGTGCGACCAGGTAAAATATTAATTTAAAGAAATGAATAATAGGTTAAAGTGAATTTTTTTTGCTTAATATGATGTGAAGAACTATTTTATTGAATGTATTCATTTTTATATTTGTATTATTAAGTTTCTCTGTTTAAATGTAAAATCAAAAGTTAAATATACTAAATACCTGCCAAGAGAACGCAATTATGATAAATTATTGTATATATATAAAACACAACCACAAAATACGATGTGTTAGACACAGTAGACACTCTAAGGGATACTTAGTTTGAATAAATATTAGGAATATATATATTTTTTTATAAATATGTGGTTGCGCCACCTGAGATTTTTTAGACTGTGAAGTTAAAAAATACTGTTAAAAATTATTTAAAATACTATGAAAAGTTGGTTCACAACTTAGACTTGTTTCACCACATTTTTCCAGACACAAAAATATGCATTACATCCATTTTGAAGATAATTTTTAAAATTACCTTTTTAGAAGCCTTATTTATCAATGACCCAAGCATGCAAACATGCATGAGCTTTCAAATAGGTTTCCATGTTGGCCAATGGTTCATTACCATCAAGAAGTATGATAATAGTTATGTTGCAGCAGGATAAATCAGTGGAGTCACGTGGATCATGTTTTGCAATACATGTTTAGCTACTCTGAATCAAAGAAATATAAATATAAATCAGGTCAACATTTTGATTGGATGAATTGTCTAGAATTGTCCCGTTGGTATTCTTGGTTTCTCGTTGACTGGACTTATAAAGAGATCAGTTTTTATGCAGAGATATTCATATAACATACAGAATATCTTCTGTAACCACCTTTTCTTCTTATAACATGAGGCATCATTTATTAAAACTTTCAGATTGTACACATATCATTTTAACTGTGTATGTATACAGTATGTATATGCTTAATGACCAGAATCTTTCATTTGTGTGTCTGGCTGTCTTAAACGCAGTATGTGGGAATTGCAGTTAGGCAAAGCCCTTAACTTCCTGGGCAGTGTGTCCTTATAACAGCAGAGACTGTCCTATAAACAGAATGCAACAGCTTTATTTGTCTTTTCTCATAGTGATAGTCAGTCCATTTAAAGCTAGCGTTGGTAATCTTGAGTACGCTAGATTTTAGAATCTTTCCATCCGAAAAACTCAGAAAACCCAGCCCAGGGTTTCCAACTCTTTTTAAATGGAAGCAGCTAGCAGCTAATGCTGCAAACGCTTCCACCACCAAAGGTTGCTAAATATAGCAAGAAAGTCGCCAAGTCAGCAACACTGACAGCCCGTCCCTTCAGCTCCCCCACCAAGTTATCATTATGAACATAAACATATCATAATGAATGTAAACACCAATGGCTATTGTATGTATGTTGCAAGGTAGCCCGTCCAATAAAGCCATGTGGGCTGAATACAATGATTTGACGGGCTTATTACAGCCTGTGACAGCCACAGAGACCTTATTTCTCTCCTTTTTTTGTCAGAGCATGACAAAAATGTTTTTGAAGATTAGCAATCCTACCTTTAAAGTAATTCAACCTTGGTGTTTCTGCATTTTTCCTCATTACTTCCTGTCTTGTCCTCAACTATCATGTTGATTTTGAACTGAAGTTGGTCATCAGTACTATAGTGGTCAGGTCATGTGAGGCTGCTCAGGTCCATCCGTATTGTATTCAGTATGTAACCACCATGCAACACTAAACAAATGGTCAATGGTCCACGGAGAAGGGGAAAGAAAACACATCAGTGCTGCTCATTCACTGAGACCGTGAAGAGTTATAACTCTCATTAAACACTCTAACAGGGTACAAAGTACAACTGTGAAGTGCATCATACTGTACACAAAATATCTGATATGAACATTTAGCTTCTTGCTCTTATTTGTTATAAAAGCAAAATGGAATATAAAGAAATGAAAGAAACAGAGTAGAAGACAGAGAGAGTGAGAGGGGTTCGGGTGGACTGTATCTGTTCTGGTGTGGTTTTGGGGAGTTATTTGGTGTTAAAATATGCCTTAATGGTTGCTGGGGATCCATTTATTACAGGCAGGAAGCAGAAGGGGGTTTCTCTTCTCATTTAATGTGACCGCTGAGAAGGTTGCCAAGTCTTATGAGCAAGCCAGCATTCCTCCGCCCCAAAGCGACACACACACACACACAGAGAGTGTGGTGTTTGGCAGTGAGGAAGACCTTTTCTGAACCATGAAACACACACATTGACACACACACACACACACCCCTGCAAAGCATTTAAGCATGATAATGAGGAGGTTGTGTAAAAAACATCTTGAGGTCTTATTAATTCAAATGTGTCTTTTAGTCGTGAAGCTCAGTTTCTGTCTTTCTCACTCGTGCCTCTCTAGTTAGTCACTTACTTCCTGTCCCTCATCCATCACTTTGTCTGGCATGGAACCAAGTCCTCTCTCTGTCTCACTTTATACTTTCTTTTCTCCCTTTCTTTCTTTCCTCCTCCGTCTCTGTCTGATAGAGAGCAAGAAATACAGCTTGACACCCTTCCCCTGCATGAGGGAGGGTGTGTTAACACCTCCCACACACAGGCCAGGGCCTTAAGACCCGTTTATGAAGTGTAGGACTCCTAGCGTATGAGGAGGAAGAAAAAGATTCGAGGAGGAATATTACCGATTTATTTGAAGGCTTTTTCACAGCATTGGGATTCTACTGATGGATTCTAATGGTGGACTGCTTCTGTGTTTTGCGGCTCATTACAGAATATTCTGGAAGAACTGTTGATACTAGATATTCATATGTCTTTTTTACACGACTTAAACAGTTTGGACCTAAGTTTTTAAAAAGGTGGCTTGGTCACCTAAAGGGAGAAAAGTGGCTGTGATTACACAAAGTTTAAAGGCGCCTGAGTGCACAAAAGGGAAGGAAACTGTCACGGCTGCTGCAACTGTGTGTGTGCTCTGAATGCCAAACCAAATGATACAATATCAACATGTTTAAAACAAAATAAGGTAACTCTAGAAGCTTCACTTGGCTAGTAGAGACACTCAGTTAAAGGTTGTGTAAGGTTTTGTGTGTGTGTTTGAGAGTGGGTGAGTATATTGGGTTACATGGCAGATATAAGGCTCCATCCCTCCTTTCATCAGCTGAGTGAGGAAGAATCGAGCAGCAACACACTGCAATCTGACCCTGACGTGTGCACTCGCACACGCACACACTTTAATACACACAGTAGCAGATAACCAGACATACTTCAATGCTGGCCATCACTCACCAGCACAAAACCTCACTGCTGCTTTCCATTGACCACCACTGGTAGAACACATGCCTCTGTGGCTCTGATCCCTCTCTCCAGTCTTATATCATATCACATCTCGATATCACTTGACAACTTACTTCAGGTTCCAGTTTGGCTTTTACTTGAAAGCCAAACTTTCATGCAAACTCACCAAAGATCCTGGAGAGCATAATCAGACCAAACATTTCATCATGAATTTGATTGCTCCCACAAGCTCATGAAACCCGTTCAACAGTCACTTTTGAAATAAATATATAAACCATTGTATAGATTATAGGCAAAATAAATGTAGATGAACAGTTTTACATTGTGCTTGTATTTATTCTTGGTGAGAGTCAGATCAGAACATTGACAGCAGTCCTATCTCTGTAGAGTTAATATGAAGTCATCAGGAGCAGACCCTCACTCTAACACTGGCATGAAGCCTGCAACAAAAGGAAACAGCTAGCTTAGCTTTGTGCAAATGTAACAGAATCCTCCTGCCAGCCCCTCAAACGCTTATTAGTTAACATGTTAAATCTTGTTTGTTTGCAACAAAACGACAGGTTGTGATTTTAGGTTTTGTTACATTTGGAGAGAGCCAGCTGTTTCCCCTGTTTCCAGTCTTTGTGCTGCGCTAACGGCTGCTGGCTGTAGTCCTCTCTTATGAGTGTGTCAGAACTTCCCTGATCTGACCACACAGTGAAGGAAATGACCTGATTGTGTCGGTGAGAAACTGAAACGGACAGAATTAGAAAATAAGATTTTAAAGGAGAACCCCATGGAAGTAAAGAGCATTTGAAGGGTTACTGTCTAACTGCACACACGAAGGTACTGTGTGCACCTTAGTGTGTGCAAAGGATGGGGATGGGGAAGGGGGGGTAATTACGGTGTAGAATGTCCTCCTCATCACTGGAGCTGGCCTAAGAGCACAGTTAATCATCCACTAACTGGCAGAGGGAAACAGAGTGAGAGAACGGGAGAGAAGCCATTGATTCAAAAGAGAGACACTTCGAGACACTTGCATTTGGTAAAAGCTCAAAAATAACAGAATAGGAAAAGAGGAGTCTTCCATCACTGGACCAAAGGATACAGATCTACTTACCTGAGAATGCAAGGATAACAAATCTGCATCCAAGGACACGGACCTGCTCCTGAGAAGGATTTTTAAGCAGCTTTCTCTCCTTTCCTCAATCAATCAGTGTGTGTGTTTGTGTTAGTATGTTCAATGTGGACTGTCCTGTTTTGGGATTTGATTGTATGTGTGTGTGAGAGGCGGCCACATGCCAGGTGCTGGCCCTGTCCGGGATGCCAGCTGTAGCATTGAAGCCCGCTCCGGAGGACATGGTGGCAGAGGGAGGGGGCGAAGGAGAGTGCCACGGGTCTCAGTGGGAAGCCTCCAGGCCGGGCCGGGAGCGGCTGCCCCTGCCATCTCTGAAGGTCCCCAGGGAGCTTCTGCGGAGCTTCCCCCACTCCAAACGGGTGGGATCCTATCTGGTGGGGAAAATGATCAACAAGGGATCGTTTGCCAAAGTGATGGAGGGGCTGCACATTGGAACGGGGGAAAAGGTTGGAGTAAAGAGACACGTCTCCCACACAAGATTATGATTACACGGTTATAACTTGGAACTGATTATTATGTGCACTTGTGTTTACAGAAGCCAGTGGCCTATTATTATTATTATTGTTATGTGTACAAACACAGTCAGACCCATCTCTAATGACTTATTTCACCAGCATGACTCTTACAGGAACAGAACACTCAACAGATCTAAAGAGGTCTGGAGTAGATCTGTTTCAGCTAAATATATCTGGACTTCTATAAAAACTAAAAAGCTCATTCATTTACCATGTAAACATGCTTATGATTTATGTTCCGTAATAGTATTCTCCTGCTTTAAAAACACTCATTCTTCCAAATAGGCTAAAAGACAACCATGCTATAAATATTTTAGATTTAGTCTAAAATGTTGTGGCTCTAAACTGCAGGGACTATATGGATGACCACCTAGTGTGCATAAATAGATGTAGAACTAGTCAGTGCGTCGCTGACCCCGGCTCATGTATACCTGACCTGGTTGCCACAGTAATGACCAAAACCATCTCCAGTGGTGTTTGCTCCTCTTGACCCTTGTTACCCTCTGCAGGTACAAGATCTGTGGACGTGAAGACTGCAGATGTGCAAACACAGTTGACTTTTTAATTTTGGATAAAATGACCTCCACTTATTTATCATACACTTCTTACACATAATGGAAATAAACTTCCTCTAGATTTGTCCACAATTTACCGTCCTTCACACCCAGTGTTAACTGGTTAGTTATCTAACTACTGTCATCTGAACAAGTAGAATAAGTCTCAATACATATCGACTTTAGGAGTTATATTATCTGTCCAAGCTATGTGCTTTTTTTCATCCTCATTGAGGGGAAATTAGTTGAGAAGTCAAATAGCTGCCAAACTCACGGAGAGAAATATATGTATACAAGTTGACGTCCTTATTATTTCATAGGGGTGTGAGAAAATATTGATGCACTTGAGGATCACAATGTTTTGTGATCCTGTACTAATGGTCAAAAACATTTTAGATTTTTATTTAGTCATTTAGATGCAAAGATTGACTCTAATAAACACAATATATCACAATATGTTACATTACATAGACTGGTACTGTATCATGTAGCCCGTTCTTCCTTCCAGTGCGTCAGCCCCGGCCTTCCAACTAACTACAATGTAAACACACCTGCATTCTTATCACGCTCAGAGCAACTGAGCTACTACATAGTGGAGCATGGGTCAAATAAATGGAGGACTTTTGTCCTGGAGACGCAGTTCGAGTTCTGTGCGAAACTAAAGTCAAAACTCCCGTGAGTCCTCAGTCAAGTTGACCACTCTCTTTTACTAATCCTAAAAAAGTCCCTTTGTGGCCTAAACCTAACTCACTGTGAAGACAGTAGTTTATCTTGGAAAGACACTATGCATGTAACAAGAGTATATACGTGTCCAAAACTAGGGTTACCTAGAGCGTCACAGTTTGAAGCTTAGGATCACTGACCAAGCTTCACCAAAACAAAAACAGGTGGCACCGGCCAATCATCCTAATGGATCTAGACAAAGTTAAACTATGTGTGTGAACAAATGTAAAGGGTATCCCAAGTCACCTACTGTCCTTAACCTCCCACCACAAACCTTCAAAATCGAACAACAACCGTGTCAGAGAACAAAAAGGAAGAGAGTGAACTCCTCAGGCTTCCTCCTTTCATTCTGGACCCCACTCTGCTGATTGGCCAGCTTGAAATCTGTGGAAGCCAAGCAGCAGCACGACTGGACTGCACAGGTGGAAATCAATCATCTTGTTGGCACCTGGAGAGAAAACAAGGGAGGGAGAGAGAGAGAAAGGCAGGAGGGGAGAAAGCATATGCACAGGCGCCTTGCCTGACACGTAACAGTGGTTATTTGATAAATTGGAGTGAGAATGTGTTAGCATCCTATTGCCGGGTTCTTGCCAAGACACAGCCCTATTATTTGACAGTTCAGTGAGATTCAGAAATGACTATTTTCCAGCACTGATCCCTGATGTGGAGCTTTTTTTCCTATCTTTATTCAAGAGCTTTCAATTTGAGAGCATGGCTTATTGATTTCATTCAGATTTTGTAATGCTTTCACTCAAATCCGTGTCCTAAGGTCATTAGTCCCTGCTTGTGCTTGGATTTGCTCTGCTTTTGCTCAAACTGTGTGCTTGCCTTGCAGATATATTGTTGCTCACACAGATTTCCTGTGCTCCAGCTTCAGCCTCTCTCCTCACACTCTCCTGTGTGCTCTGAAATCATCATCAGCTAAATATTCTACTATCCTAACAATTATTGTTTAACTTCCCTTGAGGGCCACAACTTCTGGGACATCTACCAGTAATAGAGGATTATGTTTATACCAATCATCTCTTAGAGATAATGTGTGATTCTGTTTACCTAATGTGGAAGCAGACTTTTGGTAAAAAGAAACAAACCCTTTTGGCCCTGTGCACGTGTCTGTGTGTTTAGGTGGCCATTAAGGTGATCGACAAGAAGAAAGCGCGGCAAGACTCATATGTTCTGAAGAACATGAAGAGAGAACCTCGAATCCATCAGATGGTCCGACATCCTCACATTGTTGTCCTGCTGGAGGTAGAAAAATAAAAAGACACATTATTGTGTGTTAATTGCATATACAGTCCAAATGATGTAATGATGGAGTCTTACAACATTAATAGAGTGTGATTAAAAGGTTATTATATATCTGCCACTGTTGAATAAGCTTGGTCCAATTCATATGCACTTGAATAACTGTGTGTCAGACTTTGGAGACAGAGAACAGCTACTACATGGCCATGGAGCTTTGTGCTGGAGGAGACCTGATGGACAGGATCTGTGAGAGGAAGAGGCTGGAGGAGAGGGAGGTGCAGCACTACACTCGTCAGATCCTCTCTGCAGTGGAACATCTGCATAAACACGGCATCGTACACAGGTGTGACACACACACACACACACACACACACACACACACACACACACACACACACACACACACGATGTGCAGTTCTTCTACATGTATTAGAGACATCTCATACTGAGTTACTTACTCTTATTCTTTGCTCAGTCTCAGGAGTTGTCCTTTTCTTTATTTGGTCTCCTTTGTGACATATCCAGTCATTATTTTATACATTGTATCCAGTCCACACTTCTTGAGACCTTATATAAGACATACCTCGAGAAAGAATTCATAAATAACTGATAGAGATATACGGCGTCCATTTTCAGTCCTGTGTCACGTTAGAAGCGATCACTGTACCAAACATGTAACAAGGAGACAAGTGCAGATCAGGGTTTGGCCTTTGGATGAGCTGCTATGTGTTGGGGCATGTAGATAATCTTTGTTTGTTATCATCCAGACGGTGGAGTAGTTGTGCTGAAATCATTAATTAGTTATCAACTGGTTGATCAAGAGACAAGAAATGGAGGGTAATTCTGAAACTAATCAATGATCCAAACCATTTGCCATTTACTAGTTCTGATATGTGACGTATGCTTGTGTTTTTCTATTAAACATCATTAATAGATCTGTTTTGTATTTTTCAGTATTAATTGGACTTATGCTGTTGAAACAATAGTAATTTAGATATGTAAAAAAAACACAACTCACCTTTCTAACAAATTTAGCACAATCTCAAACTTACTGGCCGGACATCTTTAGACATGCAACGACCAAAGTCAATGCTGCTTAGCTACAGTCAGACTATCAAGAGCATGTGATGTAGAACGTTTATCTCACCTTGAGCTACTTGGCCAAATTAGAGATTTGATCAAATTAAGTAAAATTAAGAAAAGCACGCTGAGCAAGCTTATGAGCACACACATGCACACACATGCACAAAGAGTAGTTTGCAGGGCATTAACAGTCGACAGACGAGGAAACGCTGCAAGAAAGGCCGTGCATGGCACAGTGCATTGTGGGAGTTAAGAGTGTTATTTTAGTGGCATTTTAGTATGTGTAAGTGTTAGAGACCCAATACTTACACACACACAGTTACGCTGCAACCACACACAATATGCACAGCGCTGGGCTTTGGTTTAAGACCTTGGCTCTTCTGAAGGTGGGAATGTGATTACCAGGCAATGACCTCATCATCCTGCGCCGGCGCCATGATTCACACATCATCACAACATCATGGACTTCCTCTCTAATGAAGTCCCTCAACGATGGTGCTCTCAACCCTTCAACAGCACCTCTCTCCTGTCACACACACACACACACACACACACACACACATGCTAGCACACACTGCCTTGTACTCACACTCTCCACCACAGTCCCACACAGAGATGATTAATCTGGAAATAAATGGAACATTTGCGCTTAAATGTACCTCCTACCACCCACATCCAGTAGGTTTACCACATACATTTTCTCCTTTACGACGTCTGCTCTCTCTCTTTCTTGCCCGTTTTCCCTCTTTCTTTCTCTGTCTGTCTTTGAACTTCATTTGGGTTGTGTGAGCAGTGTTTTCTGGAGTGTCTGTTGATTAGATGAAGGCAGATGAAGGCAGATGAAAGGAACATGGCTGATTCCCAGGCTATAGTTTATAGGGCATCCCTCGCTCTCCAAACTGCAGATTTTCATTTAGCTGGGTAGTTTCAGAGCAGGCGGTGTGGTTGGTGTTCAGGCTGGGGTAAGTTAAGGGGAGTCAGGCAACTTCTCCAGGTGAACACATACACAGTACTGTGAGAGAGAAGAGCAAGTAAGCTATGGAAGAGCTTCACTTCGGCCTAATTTCAATTTGGCTTGACTTGAAGATCATGATGGGTGAAGGATTTTAGGAGTCTAAAACAAACTTATCCTCCAAATGACCACTTACTGTTCGTTCATGCTTAGCTCTACCCAACCCAAATTTAGCTTGGGTTTTCTTATATTCTGTGGGTCTAGTCTGGTCCCATCTAAGGTGGTTCTCCATAAATATACAACAAAGGCTTAGTAAGGCTAATCACACTGCAGGAGTTCATGAATTGAACAACCACCATAGTGTCAGTTTAAGTGCTCAAAAACAAGAAAGGAAAAAAATCTCTTTAGAAATTCCTGTAGGAATAAGAACAGAGCTCATGAAAATACTAGAGTGCACCACACATTTCTTCATGACAGCTCTCTCTCTTCTTTTCTTCTGCAGAGACTTAAAGATTGAAAACTTTCTGCTGGACGAACATAACAACATAAAGATTGTGGGTATGTTGATGTTCTTGCCTTTTGCAATGACATCTGACTACTGATGCAGTGTTGGACCTGTCCTAGCTATCTAGTACATCTGTGCATAGGCTCCTCTGTTAAAATGATGATGTTTCAAACAGATTTTGGCCTGAGTAACACTCTGAAGGCTGAATCTTTGTTTCTGGAGCTCCTAAACACCCAGTGTGGAAGTCCTGCCTACGCGGCCCCTGAGCTGCTGGCTCACAGGAAGTATGGACCCAAAGTGGACGTCTGGTCCGTGTAAGTGATAGAAATGTGTGTCTGTTGAGGAGGCTTGCTCCTTCATTGTGTGGGAGAGTGTGCATTTGTGTTACTGTTTGAAACAAATGAGAGAATGCATTTCTGTGTGCATCTTGTAAAGGTGTTTATGTTCACATTCTGCTTGTGTGAACAGGGGTGTGAGCATGTTTGCCATGCTGACAGGAACTCTGCCCTTTACTGTCGAGCCTTTCAACATCAAGCAGCTGCACCAGAAGATGGTCAACGGAGAGATCAGCAGCATCCCCAGTGACATCAGCAAAGGTAACTCCACATTTCACCCGAGTGGCTTCTTTACTGAAGAAAAGACGCATTAACATTTTCTGTTTGCACAAATGTCTGAAGAGTGAACTTTCTTCAGCAACATATTAAAAGACCTAAAACTTGCAAGAACTTACATGAAAATAAAACAAAATACAGAAAAGAAAGGAGAGGTACGGCTGAATTGGTATGTGATAAATTAGCAATAACAGACATCAGAGACCAAGTGAAAGATCTCCACACTGTTTGGCTTTCCATTGGTAAAACTCTCCCTTAGTTACACAGTCAGCACCTGAGTACTCTGAGCCATGCACAGATATGTTATCTCCTAAATGTGTGTGGATGTTAATTGTGAGAAATGTTTGTACAGCTTTTGGAAACGAGTCTCTGCCAACACAAACCGGGACTCAGTCGTCACAGATCTGTCATGAGACAGAGAACTCATTTCTTACTTCCTCCACTTGTTCTGTACCAAGCACACTGTGGCCTATTGTCTCTGCTTTATTTTGGTCTGTCTTCCACACATAGTCACTCCATTACACTCTGTCATGGTGCCATGTCACCACAAACAAACATAGCTCCTGTTACTACGGCTCTAAAAGCTCTGAAGCTGTGACAAGATGGCATTAGTGGCTGTATCGCTGGGCTCAGACATCCACGTCTATTTTCAGACTTCATCCTGCCCCTGGATGGGATTGTTGGTTGTTTTATTCCATTAGCTCATTCATTAGTTTTCTTCTTAGTAGCCATGTTGTGGTGAGGTCATGTTTTACTATTTTTTTCTATTTCTATTTTCTATTTTTTTTTTTTTTCCATCCAGAAGTTTCGATTAAAATCAACAAATAGTGCATTTGATTGAGTAACACTGAATTGAATGGAGCAATCTTGGCTTGTATATCTGTGAAAGTGGCAACCATCCTGTTTGAATCCACATGCTTCTCCAGACCGTAGAGTTTATCAGGAATCTTCATCTGGAGTCAAACTATCAACCCTGCTTGGCTGCCACAGCACAGCTCCATGTCACAGACTGACATCCTGCTTATCTTCACGGTTTCCTCTCTGATACTATTTCAGTGAAGTCACAATGAGCCACATCAGTCTGTCAGTCTCAAGGAGTTGTGCAACATTTGCTCTTTTAGTTTTGGCCCTTTTTGTCCAGGCAAGAATATTACAAACTGTGCATGAACATATCCTAAAAGTGCCTGTTAGCCTCATTAGACACTGCTCCCAATGAGCAGGCCAGAGCCTTATATGGCTGAATATGAGGCATGGTGAAGCACTTTATACATATATAGGTCCATTTAGCATAACCTCTTCCAAGCAGTTGTTGACCATCAGTTGATTGAGCTTAGAATACTATTCCTGTGTGGCCTTGACTGAACCCATGATGAATGCCACCAAACCATGCTCAGGTTTCAGCTTTTTATGTACGTGATCATTTATGCTAGATGATTATAGCATGTAAACCTGCATTAAAACCTGCATTAAAACCTGTCACCCTCCTTTGAGATATTGTTTTGGTCTCCACAACTTTTTTTTGGTGTTTTTTCTTACAAAAAGCGACGCTAAGAGGAAGAGTGAATCAAAGCAGGCCGGAGGCTAAAACTTTCTGTCCAACTGATGGGAACTGCACAATCACATAATTGATCCAAGTTACCTGGAAAACAAGCATTCAAACCAAACCATATGCAGAAATCAGATCATTTTAAATTCTGAAAATGAAGAAAACAAATGTAACACCGATTCATCAATGCTCCTGCTTCAGGTGCGGTGTCATTTGTGTTGTCTCTGCTGGAGCCCGACCCCGTTAAGAGACCTAGTGTCAGGGCTGCAATGGAGGACAGATGGATCAACGAGGGACCTGCCAAGAAACCACTACCCACGCACTTTCATAAAAACAGGTACAGGGATTTACTGCATGACTACACTTTGACACTACGAACATACCCTGAGGCAATACAAGCTTATATTCCTTGTATGCAGATGTAACAATCTGAAATACCTTTAATGCTTTATTTAGCCGAATTGACTCATTTATGTACTATAGGTTCTATCACATGTATTTTAGCGCAAATTGAAGGCTTTTATCATGAATGATGCAAGAACTGCTCCAGGTCTGTTCTGCTCACAGTTGAAATCATCAAACGAAAATCTTTCAACTACTGGTCCTTCTATTCAACAAATCCTTAAGGACCCGAACATTCTCTGCTTCACTCTCCAAACTTTATCGTTGTAACTGTTCCCCTCCCTCGTTATTTCCCAGGCTTTGTCCAGAGGATCTCAACTCGTCTGTGCTGGCATACATGACAGAGACACTGGGCTACTCTCTCTCTGAAATCACACACACACTCACCATCAACCGACCCTCTGCCATCATGGCCTCTTATCACCTGCTGCTCAACAAGCTCAGTAGGAGCCAGAAGGGAGCCAAGGCCAGCAAGGTTCCTCACTTTTAAGCACACACAGACACGAGTGAGTCAGAATTACAACCAGTCTCATGTTTTGCGATGACATTTTAACAGCTAAAAATGATTGTTTTGGCAGAAAATAGAGAGCAACGACTGGAGTCTTCCAAGCAAGAATACATGGAGAGAAAGGCATAATGCTGAATCAAAGACTCTGCAACAGGTCAATTTGATCAATTTAATCATAAACATAAATACTGTGATCATTTAGATATGTTAAACAATGCCATGCACCCATTAAGGGATAAGGTTGTATTGTCAAGAAATCCCAAAGTAGACTAAAATCAACAAGGATTTAGTCTATCACCCGTACGATCTGCTTCCCTTACTCTGCCTGTGTCAATAAACCAACTACCCATTGATCCTATGAAGACATAAATCTAAAAGATATATGGGTCACAAATATAGTTTTATTCATAAAAATGCTCATTTATAATTCTTCAGAACTGCTGGAGAACTTTAGCAAATGTTACTAAAACAAAAGGAAATGGACTCGTACAACCCAATGCAATGGTGTGGATCACTGATGCAGAGAAATTCAGTTCGAATTAACAGAACATCCAAGTAAAATAATATCAAAAATAGCAGCAAATAGCCGATTGAAGTTAAACTGTGTGCACTGTATTAGAAAGAGGTGATATGAGATGTCCTTGTTACACTCGTCTTTGTGGAGAAAACATTCTTGGGCCTCCTGATAATTAATCAACGCTTGTTTTTAGAATGAACCGACCAATGAAAAGAGATGGAAGCAGTCCAGCAAGCCTCTGAGAGCCCAACACACAACTGAATGTCAGATCAACAGGAAGAGGACTGAGGACCTGCACAGACAGGACCACCGAGAGGACGTGGAGAACCCATCTCTACCCCAGCTTCCTCAATCTACCTCCCCCTCAATACCACCTCGTCTTCCCTCTCCCACCCCTCAGTCCACAGAGGATGGGACCACTGATGAGGAGATCGCCACCAGCTTGGACACCAGAGAGACGCTGTTTCCCGAAAGTTAGGAATTACAGCATACAGACAAACAAAAGCTGCACACATTCACAGTGCAGTGTGTGACATACTTTACTGTCTCTCTATGTTTGTGTTCCAGTGTCTGTGATCGGAGACAGAGAACTTGTCCATCTTTCTCCTCCTAAAAGCTCTGCATCTCAACTCTGTGACTCCGCCCCTTGCCAAGTCCCCTTACTCGCTGAGCCAATCAGAGACAGCAGCGCATTGAGGCCAATTCGACACACACATCTGCTCAGGACAACTCAATCAGACAGGGCAGCAGACCCTGGGTCAAAGTGCTTCCATGACAACCTCCACCAAGACGACCACTCTCATCACCTGAGCATCAACGAGCGTCTGGAGAAGCTGCAGACATTCTATTCTTCAGAGAAGAACGGCATTTCTCCCAGGATGGGAGTCCTGGAGGCCGACACACACACCACACACTCCTCAGACAGAGACCACCCGGGTGCCACGGAGACGACACAGACGTCACCCTCTGCCCCACTGCCCCGCTTGCGCAACGTGGGGCTAAAAGATGGACGAGGCAGAAAGATGACATGGGTAGGTTTGACCCGACCCGGGGCCCCAGGACTCCTGGTGAATGGTACTAAACCTCCCGCCTTCCCCTCACAGAGACAACATACTTTGGTCATTAAGAGTCTCAGGCAGGAGAAGGGCAAGAGGAGAGATCTGTCTGCATCAGGAGGAGGAGAGCGAGGCCCAGCAGTAGGAGGGCTGAATGGAAAGAGGAACTCAGTTCAGTTACGTTCATCTCTCCAGCGTCGGGTGGCAGACCTGAATCTGCCACTGCTTCCTGCAGCTCTGCAGAGGAAGACAGATAGCAAGAAGCAGCTACACAGCGTGGAGTATCGTGTCCTCCCATAGAAAGACAGTGATAGTGGCCAAGAGAAGAGAGGATACTGAGAGGGATAAGGCTGAATGGTATGAAATACTGAGTAAATATAGGGCTGCAGTTGAGAACTGTGTTGAGACATTTTGTGGAAGAGGTGTAATGGCAGCTACAAGTTATTATTATCTTCACCAATATGGCTCCTTCCCAAACAAACAGCATCCAGTATACATCCTCTATGCTGCAGTGCCAAAAACTCTAACTCTAAACTCACCAATTTTAATTTAGCCTTTGATAGCAAGACTTGCCTTCTGTGTTATTCCATTTTCATCTCCACCCATCACAATGTGAAGTGCAGAATGCACACAGATATATGCTTCTAATAGTATTCATTGTCCTTTAATACATTTGTGTACTAACAGTGAAAGTCAAAGTAAAACAGAACTTTATTAGAACTCATTAGAATTGTCGCATACATGAAATTTGACCTCTGCATTCAACCATGTATGAGCAGGGGGTCCTGTGAAGTGCCTTGCGGAGCAACTTTGGGTTCGGCGTTTTGTTGTAGGACACTGCAACCTGATTACAGTAGGAGGCAAGAAAGGTTCGAGGACAACCCACCCACGGAGCTACAGCCACCCCCAAGTCTCAATGCTACCTTATCGTGTTATGTGTCTTCGTGGCAAGTTTTTTTTGCAAAATTATTGCTCGGTTGAGTATTTTTTAAGGGCAAAAATAGAGTTATGTTTGACATGTCATGTTTACTTTAGTTGTCTCAACCCAACATGCTCAGCTGTGATATCTCCACTTTAGCCAAATATGGATTCTTTCTGCCTCCAGAAAAAGGACTAAATGGCAGCTAACGTTGGAGGCATTCCTGAGCTTTAAGATTCCAGTAAAGTAACGTCTCTGTGGCCGTGTTTTACTACATTATAAGGTTTAGTTTACACATCAACACGTCACAAAATTAGGTGAAATGTGCGTTTATTTTATTTCATTTCATTATTTAATTTACAATGTGTAGTGTGTTTTGTGGTATGGACAAGCACCAAAATATATACGGTGAGCTCTGGTAACATATACTTGGAAACATTTTTGACACATTTTAATAACATTTAAACATTGTTTTTACATTGATAAAGCAACCAACAACACAGATTTGAAACCCTATTTAAATTTTCACCACACAATCAATTTTCACTACTGTGAGGATGTCAGTTGCGCTTGCTCAATGTCATACTGTCATATGTCATACTACTGCAAAACTAATTCATACCACAAAATTCTAACTTAAAAAATCTGTACCCCAAATCTCTGACAAGCATCTTCTCCCTCATACGCCCCTGTCTCTTCTTTGCTCATGTCACTGTCTCTGGATCATTAATATACCAAGCTGTGGAGGAATCTGGTTGCTGCTTCGTGGCTGCTAAATAATCGAAGGGCTGTTACCTGATACTCAAACCTGTTTGTGTGTGTGTGTGTGTTGGGGTATGGTTCATGTTGCATGAGCCTAATGAGGACAGATTGAACCCACTGAGGTGGATACATCCCCAACTCCAATTACCTCTCAGGCGACTTAACAATAGGAACCAGTAAGCTCTGATATTGTATCAGACAAACAAACACAATCACACTGCACAATAGCAATACACTAAACAAGAATGGCTGGTTAATGGTCAACTGGCCAAGTCAAGTAAGCCTAAAATATACAGGGGAGTAATCCAGAACCCAGTTAAGGTCATTTTGATGGCGGGGACCCACCAAAGATAAATGAACACGCTTGTATGAATGCTGGAGATGTTTGGTTATAAACATAATCCTGAGCTCAGTCAGACTGAATCTGAAAGGTACATGAGCGTAAGAATTGGACAAACAAGGTATGGAACATCGATTAATAATGCATGTTGCACATGTGGACGTTTCCATGGCTACGGGAACATTGCATTTACATGCATGCTTTATTGAACATTGTTCTGTCATAAGAGCAGGCGCCTGTAAGGTAACATTAAACAGCAACTCAAAACATGTTTCCATGTGATCACAGCTGGTTACCAATGACACATTCACTCTTGAGCTCTTTCAATCAGAGTTGACCTCCGACAGGCTCCACATAACCAGAACCAAGAGCCAACCCATAATCTACCAGTCTGTACTTCTGAATTGAAAGTCTGAATTGTTATCTCATTCTTAACTGTGCATCGGTCTTGCAATATACAGTGGTACTTGGAACCATGGAACCTTGGAACCATGGAACCATGGAACCTTGGCTTGGGTCTTTGACTCCAGTCAGACTTAAGTTACAAAAAAGGAAGTCTTCAGACTTGGACTTCCAGAGACCTGGAAGACTTAATTTGCCTCTTACAACAAATTGATATGTGTTGAGCCTTGACGTGTACTTGACTAAACAACTTTGAGTGCATGACATGAACACACTGTGGCTTAGGCTGGTTTCAGGAGGTTGTCATGGCTTTAGTTACTTCTGCAGTGGTCCGGTGTCATTTTAAGCAGTTTTCTTGTTGAGCACACCTCTCTCTGTACTTTCTCCTCTCTCGTCCTGAGATGCATTCTCACCTTTGATCCTTGGCTATACCAGGGGTCGGCAACCTTTACTGTCCAAAGAGCCGTTTTGCCCTATTTTCCACCAAATAAAATGTGTCTGGATTTGATATCACAGCTTATAAAGTTGTATATATAGTTATATTATATATACAAAAACTATAGTTGTTGTATTTATGAAATTATAGAACAAGAATAAAGACAGTTCTTGACATTTTATCGTTATTATCAGTGACAGTATCACCTCAAACTCCAAGATAAGAGCTGTTCCCTCTGAAAGATTGTCCACTGTGCAAAAAATAAAATAAAAGTAACCGTTGTTTATTTCCATGTTATTTTTGTCAAAGCCTGAGAGCACGTCCACACTACACATGTTCTGCTACGTTCACACCGAACGTCCACACTACACATGTTTTGCTACGTTCACACTGAGCGTCCACACTACGCCGGAGTTTCAGAGCACCGGAAACGGAGGAGTTTGAAAACGCTCCTGAGGACGGATAAGTTTGAAAACTCCGGGGTTGCTTTGTCGTGTGGACGACGTAAACACATACATTTGGAAACGATCACGTGTTCACTACTTGATTGGTTCTTAGCAGTCATGACGTGTCCTTCCCTGATTCGTCACACCCCTATCACGTGACCCTTACCCGGAAATTCACAAACAACAACAACATTGATTACCGATCGACTACCAGGTTAATTCAACATGGACAACTGATTACAGGTGTTGCTGACCTTGTTGTCTTTACGAGCAGCTGTTCTGTTAAAGTCTGCATCATTACGGAGGAAGCAGCTGTTAATGGAGCGATTAGTGAGCAGCGTGACCAGCGGCGTTATCAGACCTACGGAGTGGACGTCTGAAGTCACGGTTAGCGGCTTTGAGGAGGACGGACACAAAACGGAGGACTTTCCTGTCCTTATTAATTATATTGTTCTGCACAACTATTGTGAAGTCCGCAGATAAAATGTAAAGGAACAAAACATGAATTGCTCTCCAGTAGGACAGAGACTTCAGACACCAGCAGAGCTACGAGTGAGAACAGACAATAACGAAACGGAGGAAACGAGTGAGAGACGTGTGTTGACCACATTTATGGACCATAATCTAGTAAACCTTTATATGTAAGTGTTAATATTAAAGTAAATGTGATGTGAGAGAGAGAGAGATAGAGCAAGACCTGCAGCGCTGTAACTAAGTCTGAAAAATAAAACTTCTAAAACTTTCCACTAACTGTGTCTGTTTGAGTTCATAGAGGAAGATTTTAGAGAAGATCTTAAGTATCAAACACGACCTTTCATTATTAAAGACTTCTTTATTACTCTGTCGTATTTTTTTAAATAAGCCACCAATCTACTTCCTGTTTACACCGCCACCCACCCGCATGCCCAGTGTACGTGAAGAGTCACGTGATATTCGTTTTCAGGCGTTTTAGTCTGGACCAGATCATCTCGAAAACGATGCTGAAACACCGTGTGGACGGAGATCGTTAAACGAAAACGTATTAGTGTGGATGTAGACTCAGGGAGCCGCAACAGAGGGGCTGAAGGGCCGCATGCGGCTCCGGAGCTGCGGGTTGCTGACCCCTGGGGCCTTTACCAAAGGAGATTTCCTGCAAAAAGCCTTGAAGGCAAACCTCTCCCATGTGGCTTCCACAAAAACTCGGTTCACTTTCTCCCGCTCTCATTTGGTAATGTGAAAGAATGTATGTTAAGTTGTATTAAAGTTTCAGCTACTGTCATGCTCCATTAGGTAAGACGCTATAAAGACAGCCAGCTGTGGCCCCCAGGAGTTAGTCATGCTTCTGTTTGCTGGCATTGTGAAAGGCACAAACATGCCTGGACATGTCTACTGCATCCTCTGATGTTTGTCATTTCGGGGATGAGCTAGTTACTGATTAGAGAATCAGGTCGCTCTGACTACAACAATAACACTATGTACTACACACAGTAGTCTGCAGCCATGCTAGCTGTGCTTTAAGTTGTGTGCTGACATTATCATGATGCTGATCATTAAGATGGTGAAGCAATGTTTACCATCTTATTTTAGCATGTCAGAATGTTAACATTAGCTAGTTATTTTGGCAGTATTCAGTCATACAGTGCAGTCACAGGCCCGTTATTTAAAAAAGAAACACAATTGAATAATTGTATATCAAAATGCAATACACATGCTTTGTTTTTCCTCTGCCTCTACAGCCTGACAGTTAACAAAAGCTGTCAGAGAGATGTAGAATATTTACCTCTGAGATATAGTGAACCCTGTTTGTCTTTCCTATGATACAGCGTGGTGGGGGATGCATTCAGAGCAACACTATCTTATCCAACTCTAAACATGTCCTCTCACTTTGCACATACACACACATGGACTGATACTGAATGTGGAGGAGGCATCGGTTAACAGCTACTGGGTTCACCTCAAAGTTTCAGCTGACTGTTGTAATACACTGCCACCTCTGCTGTCTGATGGAGATGTTTAATTCAGTGTTTGTGATGGAAATGTTTCGTGATGGTGAGTCAACTTATGCTTGACAACTGACTCTTTGTTTTAGAGCAATGAGCAGGGACCGAATGGCCACACAGAGAGCCATGGCTTCTCTCATTGCAAACATAAGAGGCACAGCACGCTCACAAAGTAGCTGTGGTGTCTGATCTGATTTAGAGGACAGTCTGAAATAAAAGCCTTCGCAGCCCTTCTGATGTTAAACTGCTTGATGTGATGTGACATGTGCGCTGTGTATTCCTGTGTGTGAGTGGGGAGCTGGAAGTTTTCTCAAGTCCTCGGATGACTCTTTTTGGAAGAGATTGACTCTAAGATCTAGTTTCCTGCTGTGGTCCTCCAGGAGCAACTGTCATATACTTGAAGAAAAACAAATTCTAAATGAACCGTGGTGTCTGTCTTTCCCCCTTTTCTCTTTGAGTTCCCTCGCTTTCCTTCCACCATCCTTTCTTTTTTTTGTTTCTTCCCTGTTCTTCCAATATATACCAGTGATCTTAAATCATCAGGGGAATCTAATGGCTGACGCTGCAGAATAAAGACTGGTTTGTGTGCATGAGAGTGTGTGTTTACGTGTGAGAGTGAGTGTATAAAGCATTATCTAGTGTAATGGCTTGGTTCAGTGGAAGGTTAAGAAGAAGCACGATTAGGATCACAGTCAGATCAACACATCCCTCCCTCTCTTAGATCACTGGCAAAATGCTGGAGTTTGCAAAATCTGCCTTTGGTTCTAACATTTTAACAATTTGAACATAGGATAATATAGTTCAAATGTGATCAGGGGAATTAAAATAATATATTTTAGTACTATTGCTCAGTCAGAATAGCCCTTTAAGCCACAGCTCTGCAGGTATTTGGCGACATATTCAGAAAGGGAAAAAGCAATTACATTGAGGTAATATCCATGTCTTTATGCTGCAACACCATCTGCAACACCATCTGATACCTTCATTCACCTCAACCTCAGAGAGGACCGGGCCTTTCTTTGGAGCAAGCATACATTCATTTATCATAGCACCGGGTTTCACCGTGGACGCAGAGGTGTCCCTATTTTCAGAGGAGCGCTGCCTGCGTCCTTTGGGTGCCCATGGAAACCATTCGTCCTGTTCACTCACACAGGACACGCTGCACAGAGCTCAGGCTCTTCAGCAAGAGTTACCCTGCTGAACTACTGGAGGTTCCATTCCCATTTTATCCCCCGAATGATGACATTTCTAAATCTCTCAATCCACTATATTAATAAACAGCCTAACGTCACCGCTGTTTGTGACTGTGGTTATTAATTCATCAGTTGTGTCTAAACATAGACACAGAGGCACACAAGGAAACTGAGCTTAAATTAAGCAACAATAAGATGTTTAATAACGTTACTTTGCTTTTTAACTTAAATTAACTTGAGTTAGCTGAGTTACAAATTGCAGTGGTGTAACATTATGAATAACTAGCATTTCCCAACAACTGGACATTGCTTACTTATTGTGGTTTAGCTGCACTTAAAAGTCTGAATTGGATACGTTATCTTCTTGTTCAAGTCAAGTTTGTTTCATTTGGAGAGTTAAACATGCGATCCATAATAAAGGATGCACAATATAATTGCTGCACACATTTAACAGTCAGGTCCAGACCAGTACAATGTAAAGTGTGTGCAACATCTACTCATAAGCATTTCATGTGAAACTGGTTTGGGGCTTGGATAAACTAAGCTGGGAAGTAGCCTTCCAGAACTTATATTGCCTTGCATGCAAAAACAATACAATTGTTTTCAACCAAATGCATCAAAATGTTAGTGTACAAACTATTATAAACATAATGATATCAATAGGTTTCTGTTGTAAAGCCAGTATGCTTCACTTATCCGGGGGCCTCAATAGAGTTGGTAAGAAATAAATGTACTAATATAGTCCATGTTTCATGTCTGGAAGTTTTGCCGAAATATATTCAGTCAGATTAGACAACCTCTCTGCAAAGTTGCATTAATAAAACATGTCATTTAGTGTAAGATTTTGTGCACCAGGACTTTTTGCCTAAAATTGACAGACGTTTTTTAAAATGTTGAGAGTTTCATTTGACTGAAATAACACTAAAATGTCTAGTGTTTATATCAACGAACATTAGACTGATATAACAGATATGTCCAGAGTTTAACTCAAACATAACTGGACTAAATGACCAGAGTTCAAAATGACTAAAACTTTATACCTGGGCCTTCAGTGCTGTCCAACTACAGCTGAACCGCCTCCTAATAACCTCATTATGACGCCACAGCTACGAGTTATTATCACATTGCAACATTTGACAAGTGAAATAAAATGTTACATGAAGCTCAACACCTACAAATATACTAACTGCAGATTGCAGATACATGAATACGCGCAAAACTACAAAGGATGCAAGTATATCACTATGAGGCAGCATGACGGGATGCTTCGTCATTAACGGACAATGCATGTAGTCAAAATCAATGTAATTAACACAATGACAAGAACAAACTCACAAGAACCAGTCACATGCCACTGTCGACTGTGAAGTAGCAAGAGGGCCTGATGGAATTAGTTATGCTGTTCTATGGTATGCCGTATTTACAGACAGCCCATGTTGGCTGGCATGAACCTCAATTAGTTCATACCTGCCACGCTGCCAGACATCACACACATACGGTAATCATTATGCATATCAAGTTGGTGCAGTACAGTATTTGTCTTTGTGACAAAAACAGCTAAAGTGCAGCCGATGACGTGTTAATGTACCTTTTTCAAGACTACAACTCCTTCTTGACTTTGGCTATTAGAGATGATCTCAAACATGTTGCCCTCATCTACTGGAACAATGGCATACTCCACGTCTGCATTGCTGCCAGCATCCAGATCGAATGCTCGAATCTGACCTACTGCTGAGCCGACTGACGCCGACTCTGGAACCCGCAGATGGAAAATACCTGAGAGAATGACAGAGGAGACGGGACGAGAGCAAAAAGCTATTAAGTGCAAATTTAAAACTGAAAAAGACAGATTTTATTCATTCATCTTAAAAGGTAGGTAAAAAAAACATTTCATATATTTTTGTTGAATTCATTACATCCTGACAGCAATGAATGAATCAAATGGTCTGACGAAATAAAAATAAAAAATCTGTTATCTTTGTTTGTGGCAGGACTGTAATAAAACCGTCCAAACATTTAATCCATAGTCTTCCACAAGCTGCTAGCTTGACAGCCGTGAATACTATCAGTAACCATGTTTGTTGTTCACATTCATAATGATCATTTTGGGGGAGTGGCTTTGGAAGGAGGCCTGAAGGGCTGTCAGTCTTGCCGACTTGGCACCTTTCTCTCTTGATTTAGCAACATTTGAGAGCTAGTGCTGCTCGCTGCTGGGAAAGAATTGGCAACACTGGGCTGGGTTCTTCAGTTAGAAGCAATCAACCAATCACATATCATTGTTGGGACTTTCTTACTCTTAGCGAAACGCGGTGGGTTGACGTCGCTGAGGGTGATGCTGATGGTGGTGGTGGAGGCCAGCCCCCCCAGCTGACCTCCCATGTCCTTGGCCTGGAGAAGAACCTGGTACTCCCCTTTCACCTCGCGGTCCATGTTGGCTAGAGCTGTCCTGATGACTCCTAGAGGAGGAGGAGGGGTTGAAAAGGGTACTCGTGAAGATGATAACGATGACTTAGCTTTCCATATAGGGTTCCTGATGGTCAGCTGGAGCCTTGCCTGGCAGCCTTTGCCGTCAGTGTATAAATGTGTGTGAATGGTTGAGTGATGAAACAGTGTTATGAGTGGTCAGAGGACTAGAAATGTGCTGTATAAATAGTTGAACAAAGACCTGCATTGATTCAGGCAAGGACAGCCAAAGATACAGCACAGCAGGAGAGAGAGAGAGAGCTGAACGATGTCCTACGGGTTCTTAAGACCAGGTGAAAACAAGGTGAAGGACTCGCTGTCAACGAGAGCGAAGATTCCCTGGTTTGATGAAATGGTTAGAGAGGTGTGCTGCTGTGCTCTACGCAGCTATCCAGACAAGAAAGCATGTAAGACATTGAAGCCTTTTGGCTTCATCTGCAGTTTATTTGAGTTTGTTTGAGGACAACTCTACAAGTCAATATTCAAATATAATAGGATATAGCATACAAACCATTTCAGCACAAATCTCATTCTTGACATTGGAAACAAACAAACTAAATAATCAAACATTAATCTATCAAATGGTCAAGTAGTCGACTACTAAAGCCACTGGTCAGTGCTGTGGATGGTAGTTGATGTTTTAAACTTAAAACAATACCTGTAAATATCTGCACATGGTTTTCACTCATTCTGGTGTTGTACATAAAGACGCTCTATGCCAAAGTTAGAACAGATTTTATTCATTTCGCACAAGAGATTTTCTCTATATTAGGTTTTGTCTGTGCTCTTCTCAGTGGTTAGAAGTAGGAAAGACTCAGTTGGGAAAAGGAGATGTCATTTGATTTTACTAACATCTGAATCCCATCTGATGACAGTTTGTTTGTTTGCTTGTTTGTTGTCAACCAGGCCACTGTCAATCAAATCTGATCAAACCAAAACCACTGTCAAATGCGTAATGAATAATTCATAAAGATGTTTTTGTTTTTAATTGTTTCACATTCAGCAGTGGCGGGTGTAGGAAATTTGGGTTTAGAACTGTGTTTTAAGAAATTATAATAGAAGTGTTTAATGATTCATAATTAAGAATCATAATTAGAAGTGTTTTGGAATACATAATTAGAAGATTCATAATTGTAGAAGTGTTTTAGAATTTGTAGTTAGAAGTAATTCGTAGTTAGAAGTGTTTTAGAATTTGTAGCACCTTTATATCTATGTTTGTGAAACTTGTGAAGTTTTTGCCAAAAGTTGCAAATCCTTATCTTTATATAGAATGTTTATCATAGAAGTGTTAAGCCATAAAAGACAGTCATTGAATGTTTTAAACTGTAAAGAATAGTATGTTGGGAGTAAGGGACAGATAGATTTCTAGACAGGCAATTACAGGTCATACCCGTACGAGGGTCCTGCGAGGAGGAGGAGCCAGCTGGATTTAGCCAATAGGAACTACAGACATTATGGGATGTTTTTTGAACTATGTAAGGCGGGAGAGAAAGAACTTCCGGCCTCTTGCTCCTGTTCCACTGTGTGGGTGGTAACGTTTTTCGGGGTGAGCAGGTCATATTCTGTGTAACTGTAAATAATGTACTTCACTATGCAATTGTTTTAGCATCAGAGGTATTAAATGCTTTGTTTATAATTGAAACCGGCTGTCTTTGTGTAAGAGGCTGGATCACATGCGGTTTCCCCAGTCTAGAGGTTCCTTGAACCTAACACGGGCCGTGCATTTTATACCAGGGCCTTCACTGCTGTCCTCATTATGACGCCACAGCTACGGTTATTATTTGTTTCGTGTAAAAATGAAGCTCAACACCTATAGATGCACTAACTGCAGAGTGCAGATACATGAATACGCCGAGAGTGTCTCCTCTCTTCTCTGACTGCAGCTGGGACTGCTGCGCGAGGCTGCTGTGAGAGTGGCCACCTGTGAGTGCTTTGGGGCGGCTCACGGCAGCTCCCGCTGCTCGTTCACCACAGTGCAGAACGGTACGTGCTTTCACATCAGAGTCAAAACACCAGAAAAGTCTCCAACAACACCAGAAAAAGTTTAGATTTGTCGCTAGTAGCTTTAGACAAATAAAGTCTCCATGAGGGTTTGAAAAGGCGCCAGATTTAGTGAGAAAGTCGCCAAGTTGGCAGCACTGGCACTGGCTAAATGTGTCCCCAGCGCAACAAAGTTCTTAATTAAATTCACAGCGTTTGCTGTTTCAAGTTGTGAAAGCAGACACATAGCGCTAATTTACAAAACACATATGAAGCATAAATACGTAGTTCCTATCACATAAAAAACCAAACAAAGATCCATCTTCATAAAAACAAGTATAATATATATATAACAAGCATATTAAAGCTACTGCAGATGTGAAAACAAACGCAGTTCACTTACCAGAGCTGCTGTTCACATAATGAAACATAAAAAAGGGCACGGAGCAGTTATTCGTTGAAACACTGGGATGAAAAGCTACCCAGCGCGCTGCAGACTTTTTTCTGCCAGGGCTATGTGGTACATATCACTTCAAATGTTGAGGTTGATATAATTACTAAATCAGTTTTAGTGTTGTTTACTATTATGAGGGTTGACTTAAATACATCATTAACCTAATGCTAATTCATAACTTGTCTGGGAATGATCAGGGCTCGTGTAATGACAAAGACAAAAACATGTTCAATCCACATTGTCGGCGTGTATCTCAAAAAAGTCTTCAGTGACGTTAAGGAGGCGACACCATTTTCTCCCTTCATCTTTTTTGTCATATCGTTACACGTGGTAAATTGGGGCTTAATTGACAAATTGGCATTCTACAATTAATATTAATACAATTAAATAATGTGATTCTTCGTCACTTTCAACTGCTGATCTTTGAAATGTGGCTTCTTCTTTAAGAAGCAAGGTTATCCTGGTCAACTGTTGGTCTTCAACTGTGACAGACAAAGAAGGGTACATTTTTGTATTTGTTGTTGGGACTGAAGTTATCATCAGTTAATGTGGCCTCCTTTTTGCTGAATGAGTGGTGCCTTTCAGAATACTGCGACAACAGAACTCCCCGGTCTCATCAGGGTTTCCGGTGAGTTTCGGGGAAGGTGCTTCTTCGAGAGCAGCTCTGCGAATAACATGTAATGCTGAACCTGAGCGTTCCTCTTCAGTATTCACAATCACTTTTCTACACCGCTTCACTGTGGTTTGCCAGATGTTGAATTGACAAATAGGAGCACTGAGGTTAAAGAGCTTTAGTGGATTGAAAGTGGAAAAGTGAAAAATCACAGTCGCTGATTGCTTCCAACATTCTTCTACCGTTTTCACCAGTCACAGCCTCGTTGTTTTAAGCCGTAATCTTTGATGCAGTCTGTACTTATGAAGAGGCAGGAGGGCGACCCATGCTGCTCCTCGGGGTGAAAATCAAACATGACACACTGTTCAGAGTCTTTACTGTTCAGCTGAGATGCCTGATAAAGGACTGAAAAACTTTAGTGCTTGTTTGAGCATTCAGCAGCAGGACTGAGGAGAAACTCACTCACTGTGTTGTGACTGAGCTGAGGGTTCACACAGCAGTCACAGAGCAGTGTGGATAAGTCTTGGATTGTTATGGCTGCAGTAATGGAATCGTGACGATGAAAGTTTTCTAACCTGTCCACAGAGAAATATGGCTGGCCGTGAAGGATGCTGTAGACCACACGTGTCAAACTCAAGGCCTGCGGGCCGAATGCGGCCCGCCACGTCGTTTTATGTGGCCCGCGAATCCACCAGCAAAAAAAAAAAGAAAAAAAGTTTTTGTTTTTTTTTAATTTTGGAAAAAAAATTAAAAGTTACACTTGAAAATAAAAATATCCCCATGGTCGAAATTATGAGATAGAAAGTTGAAATTATGAGATAGCATGTTGTGAAGTATTATCACCGTGGCTGGACATTGATTACTTGTCCTCCTAACAGTCACTTGGTAACAATATGGTTAATTAGTTATTACCTTTTTTTTAAAAACAGGTGGACAGCCCGTAAAGCGGTTTTCCAACAAGTAATTGAGTTGAAAAAGATCGACAAATAATCCCAAAATGTCCACGAAGAGAAAAATTGATGCAGAGGGAAGAAGATGTAATTTAAGATGGGAAAGCGAATACATGTCTGTGCTTCAGGGAGAAAAACTGGTCTGTCTTCTGTGTTATGATGCGTGTCGGTGATGAAGGATACTATTCACGTCGGCATTTTGACACCAAACACGGAGCTAAATTTAGCCTCCAAGAAAAACATCAAATTGTCCAAGAATTAAAAGGCAGACTGCAATCACAGCAGAATATATTTACAAAAGCTACAGCCCAGTGTATGCTAAAGGTATGTGAGCAGGTGAGCTCCGACCAGATACAGACTTTTACAAATGTCAGTTTGTGAAGAAACACCATCGCAGACCGAGTTCAGGAACTAGCAGCAATCTAACAACACAGCTAGCTAAGAGACGAGCAGGTACTCGTCTTCTTCATTAGCTGTTGATGAAAGCACAGACAACAGGGACACAGCGCATCTATCCATGTTT